TTATCTTCAATGGCAAATGGGATGCACCAAATTTCAATATAGACGGTCATTATCCAGTTAGGGAATTGTGGTCGAGAGCTAGAAGTTGCTGGAAGAAAATCCTTACACACGAAAGCAGATCGATTCTTGTGGTTGCTCATAATGCCGTCAATCAGGCTCTTATTGCCACAGCTATCGGTATTGTGTGTGTGTGTGTGTATTAATTATTGCTTCGATTCTTGAAATTGAATGTTGATGTTTATTATCATTTCAACAAAATTGATTCGAATCTATTTTTTTGGTCTGTCACGTGTAGGATTGGGCACTGAGTATTTTAGGGTTCTACTTCAGAGCAATTGTGGTGTTAGTGTTTTGGATTTCATCCCAAAATCTGAAGGCGGGTCTCCAGAAATATGCGTTAATCGTCTTAACCAGGTATGCAGTCTACTTATGCACGACCGTGCTAAAAAGATTTATTGAAAAAAAAAAACACAGCAGAAAGAAGCATATTTTCATATGTTCTACGTTTTTGTAGGTTATTTGAAGTTCTTGGTGTGATATTTAAAATGTAATAATGCAGACACCAAGTTCGCCTATATCTGCTGGCGGAGGAAGGAAAACTAGTACGAGGATTATACTCGTCTGTCATGGATTCCCTCAGAATAACTTAGAGGTATGAAAACACTACTATAATATAATATCCGAAAATTATAGTAGGCAATGTTTGTTGTAAGTGGTGTAGTCTATAAAATTTTCAGTGATTGGGATAGGAGTGCTATTGCTAACTATTTTCGATGAGAATATTGAGGCAAATAAGTTTGAATTGATTTCTTGAAAATATGCCATTATTTTGTCTTTTTCTTGTTATTTCTCTTCTACCATTGCTCGATTTTTAAGTGGCACGCCAATTTCTTAGCAGGGCAGCAATCCTTTCTCTGTGGATATCCCAATGAACATGCTTGGAACGATTCAGGTAAAAAAACACTTTTCTAAATGGTGCTATCTTCGAATAGTTTTAGTGTTATTTATTTTTTTAATTTTTTTTTAATATAAATATAGGCACAGAAAATTGCCGAGCTACTTCTTGATGCAAAGGTGAGCATTGTAGTCAGCAGCAGTGCAGTAGCATCGGTTGAGACAGCAAATGCAATCTCCAGAGTAAGTATATACTTTTGTTCGTAAAAAACAGTTATATTCACTTAGCTTAGCAATCTTTGTATATCAAATGTGAGGTTTACTATGAATAATGAAATAGCTCGTGTTTAGGTTCAAGAAGCTGCTGATTGCTTGGGCGCTGATTGTGTGCCACGCTATGTGGACGCAAAGCAAGTAGCGGATTTCGATGTCGAGAATATCCTTCACAAAACAAAGAAAGTAAGACAAAATGTCATGAGATAAATGGAAACACGAACTTGTCATAACCCTGTTGATTTTCTACGTTTTATTACACAGGATTTGACGAGTTTTCAACCTCTTCAATCGAGTTGGTTAAAGGGATTCGAGGAAGAGGTAAAAAAAGAATTATGGCAAAAATCAGGGGTCGCGTGGCAATTATTATTGGAAGAACTTTCGAAGGGATCGTCGAATCCCGAAAATGTTGTTGTTGCAGTTGGCCATCCAGCTCTTCACATTGCAATGATGGGGCATTGCTTGAACCTGAGCGATGAATGGCTGGGATTGTTTCATCTTGATGCTGGCAGCATCAGTGTCGTTGATTTTCCTGATGGGCCCACCGGAGGAGGAGTGATCCAGTGCATCAACTACACGGCCCATTTGGGTAGGTGGTCGGTACCGATTACGAAAATTAAAGGAAAATATGAGAACATAGTTACATAAGGTATATCTCTCATTTTTCAGAGCTCGTTTCATATAAATATATATATATACACACACAAACACAAAATTATGTACACATAAACACACACTCAGCACGCATAAACACATACATATGAAAACATTCAAAAACTCACGTACACATATAAACACACACATAAAGACACACAAACACATTCCATATATACACGTACACTCACACACACTAGGGTATGAAGAAAAGGACAAGATAATGGGTTTATACTGAGCTGCACCGGGTGAAATTACACCGAGTAGATATTAACCATTCATGTATAACACACAACACGCACACACCCGTATTGGTGTGTGTAGATCAACGAAAATACACCAGGTGTAACTTTCAACAGGTGCAACATAGAATAACCAAGATAACGTGACGGACTCACAACAAATTAAGTAACAATTTTAAATTTGTGATAGAAGGATTCTTAGACAGTTTCTCTTTTATTTATTTGTCGACATCCAGACTCCTTCAATCAAAAAATATGATTACTGTGAGGATTAGGGCCACATATTATTTTAATTGCTTGCTTCTCAAACTACACATTTCACCTAATAACTAATAAGTGCTTACGATATATATTGTCGTAAGCAAAATCTTAACCATATCACAAATTAATATGAAAATTAAATGTCAAATGTTTGTCACTTAACGTGACGATACACATTAGCGGAGTCAGAACTTTAAGTACGAATGAGCTGAATGCATTAATTTTTTTAGGGGGCTGTTAATACTATTGTACATAATCAAATTATATTTATATAGAGATTCGAGAAATGTTGGGAGGGGTCTAGCCCCCCGCCCGTATACTGGCTCCGTCACTGACGATAATAAAAAAAGAATAATAATTTGAGAATGGCAAGTGGACTAACATGGGAAGGAATGAAGATATTCATAAACTAGGGTTCTTGAGATGACCACGAGAAAATGACTTGGGCCTGCAGTTAAGGGTACAAGGGAATTTCACAAGTTGTTTTTATCTTAATTAATTAATGTTTTAGCAGAAAATAAATATATATAAAAAAAAGTAAATTATTAAAATATTAAGATAACAACGACAAAAGAAATTTAATGTGGACAACTTCCAAGAAGCAACGAGGCTATCATAAACCCTATACTTCTTCACTAATATAAAATATAATAATCCCTTTTGACCTCAAACAAGATTTGTTTATGGTTCATAATCCCAGTTTAACCCATTTTTAATTATGGATTAGGGGCCGCAATAAGTTACATTGCACATGTTCTCTATAGTAGATGAGATGTCTTCTCATTTTGTATTAATCCATTTAATTATTAATTAATTCCAAAACTAGGGACATCGAAAAGTAGTTAATTAGGTTTTGTTTTTTGGGGTCGAGTGGTTGATGGAGATTCTGTGGGCTAAACCGTTGTAATGTGAATTGATTAAGAGCCCGTTTGATTAAATTTATTATAAAAAACTGATAATCTCTATACGTTTGATAAGCTGTTATAGGAGCTAATAAGTTGTTAAGTCGTGTTTGTAAACTCTTTTGTCATTGTCTAGCTAGTATAGTCACCGGGTCTTATGTTTCGTGTCCTACCACCAAGTTGCATTTCGTATGCTTATAGATTTCTTTGCTCATTAATTAGAATTGATTAATCATAATTAGAGCATAATATTTTATATGTCTATATTAAATTAAGGCCGGTGGGCAAACATTAAGCTATCTTTTAAGTGTGGTGGCATTGTTTAAGAACGTATTATGTAAGTTTATACTAAGTTATAAGTTATAACCTCAAGTGCACATTTTCAACTAATTGAATCATTTTACAAGTTAATCAAATATTGATATTTAATTATGACGATATAATCTATACAAAAATTTCACAACGACGACTCAATTACTTGGTCAATGCAGCCAAAAAGGGGAAGATTTTTCAGTCTCGACGTGATCATGCTCTTATTATTATTTTTCTTATAATGAATGAATCTGCAGATAACAATATACATGCACTAGGTAAACCTACATATTCGTGTAATAGCTTGCAAATCATACGAAAGACGTAAATCACACTAGGCTATGTGTGACAAGCTCGTATAAAGCACTTTTTTCAAGTTCAAAATATGCTTTTGAAAGACGCAAATATATACATTCATTGAATCTTGTTCCAAGTTGTATAATTAGGCCAAAAATTAAAGAAATGACATGCAAAACTAGCCAAAGATTGAATAAAACAGTGATGAACAACAATATATGAACAATCAAAGCATCCAAACAAAAAACCACACACACACACATTTATGGTTAAATGAATTACAATCTACTTGTTGGACATTAAATGGGGAACATGGGTTGGGGGGCCGCTGCCCACCTGCGGTCCATTGCTCCACACCCTAAATAAATTACATAATATTGCAACCAAAACAAAAGCAATAATTCTTTTACATATATAAAGAATTTTTTGTGTTATAAGATTCAATTCCTCCATCCCTACATACATACATCCTCCTAATTTAAAAACAACTCCATCATAATAATCCTAATTACACTAACAGCCCTTCAAACTGAAGGTGCTGATAGACGACCAACTTGAGGTTGTCAACCAAATTATAGTCACATCTTTTCGGATGAGGCGTGTAGCGTCGGGGACTTTCAGCGCTTGAATGCATGCATGCAAAATTTACCAGAATTCCGATGATCGATGATCGTCTAGTTTCCATTAGTTGAATATATCAGCTAACGACGATCTTGACGGTACTTTGATCAGAATGTCGATTGTAACGTCGTGCACATCGGCAAATGTAGGACAACATTGATTTAATAAATCAACAAAATCATTGTCTATTTATGGACCAACTATCTTTATCTCAATACATCAATTAAATATGATAATCAAGAAATCATTGTCTATAATGCAATAATTTGTGGCAAATAGAGTATTATTAGTAAAGAAACAACATACAGTAGAACCTCGATAAATTAATACTCGATAAATTAATAATCTCGCTTAAATAATAAATTTTCCCGGTCCCGACTCGGGGACAACGTGCTAAATTAATAATTCGCTAAATTTATAAGATAATACACATTCGAAAATTTTAAGAAGCCCCATATAATATATAAATTAATAATTCATAAAAATAATTCTTAAATTACATGGTGCAATACATATTTTATAGATATATGAAGGTTTAATAAAATATAATTTCATTGCCCTTTGTTTTTGTTGAAGTTCACATTACCACCAATCTCGTGTCTCACTTTTTTTTAACATGGTTAGAACCTCTATTATAGCTTTCGCATAAATCAACATGAAATTGTTCAATAACATCGCTGCTTTAAGAGCTTCCGCTCGTGAAGCGGGCTCTATAGTGCGTTGAACTAATGGTACTATGAATAATATACGCGTAAAAAATTAAAAAAAATTATATTTATTGAAAATAATAATAAAAATAATTTCATAAATTAATAAATTATTAATTAATGTATAAATTAATAATTATTAATTTATCGATAAGTTAATATTTCGCTAAATTAATGAAATTTTGATGGTCCCAACTGTATTAATTTATAGAGGTTTAACTGTATTCAATATAGGTACAATTAGTATATATTAGACTATTGTATGATAATCATGGCCTCCTCATGGTAATTTTTCCATAAGTATATATGTCTTTTATTTTTTTACTCTATTGGAGGATAGGTCAAATCATTTTTGTGACGTGAAAGGCCAAAATTAAATATAAGTTTCATTAGTCAATTATAATTTAATGCTCTTTTCTTCCCAACTGCAACCATACCACAATTTTATTACAGTACATCTTAATCTTACCCCATTAAATCAATAATCTTGTAATAAAACAAATAATAAAAGTTTGGGATTTGTTACTCTTAATGTGGAATTTTAATGGCTTTTCTTAATAAAGAAAATAAAGAGAGGGGCATGTAAGAAAATTAATTAATCTATCTTAAAGAGAAAAAAGGAGGGAGTTATTTGTTTCACATTATTCCTCTGCTTTCAATCATAAGTGTGTGTGGGGGGCAGAAGTTGGTGGGTCATCAGTTTGGTTTTAATTTGTGGGGGCCAAATTAAACACTAACCATCATAAAATAATTAATTCATTTTTTGAGCTTTTCTTTTTAATTTCAATATATACTATTTACATAGTAAGTATTATTTTTTTTTTGTTTAATATGTTATTCTACTGATCAATTTTCTGCAAAATGTATATACATATATACAAGCACCATATTAAACTAGTCGAATGACCTATTAACTTAATTATTGATAGATGAGTTGATCGCTGATTTAATCGGTATATCTTGCAAGTGAATCGAACGCATGAAATTCATTGAGTTGACTATAATAGATTCGAGATACTTCTTAATTCTTAGTTCTTACCATGTTTGATGATTAAAATTACTTAACTAAATAGGGTTAAATTAGTAAGAGAATAAAACTTCATGGTCCGCATAATGTAGCGTCAAACCATTAATTAATTTATTTAGACACTTAAAACACTATTACTAATTAATTATTAATGATATTTCCAATTTTAAATATTACAATATCTCAGTATCAGATGATCTGTCCAGAAAATAAAGAAATAAACCTTTGAAACTTTCTGTTATTTCCCCCCTCTCTCTCTCTCTCTCTCTCTCTCTCTCTAGAGATGCAAAATTTTAAGGAAGAGAGAGAAAGAGACACGGAGGAATCATATTTATTACATACATGGGCCTGTCAGGAAAAAATAAAATTAAATTTAAAATTTAAATAAATAAAAAATATTAATAATAAATAAAACTGGATTTCCATTACATTTCCTCTCCCATCTCCCTCCCTCTCTCTCTCTCTCTCTCTCTCTCTCTTAGTTTCTTTCTCTCTCTAGATTTTAGCCATTCTCTCTTAATTCCTTCGTTTCAAATTCACTTTCTCCCATTTCTTCTCTGCAACTACTAATCTCTCTCTCTCTCTCCTCTCTCTCCTCTCTCTCACACACAGACACACGCACGCACACAGAGAGAGAGAGAGAGACAAATGAGAGACTTTGCGTCGTGTTTCAGTGAATACGCAGTGCAGGTATCCGACACGTCATGTTCGAGCTACTCGAGCAACTCCTGCATTTCACCGAATTCGATCCCATCCGTTCAAAATTCCGTCACGTGTCTCTACAGAGCCGCCCTCTCCACCAAGAGGCACGTGCTCATCACGCTCACGTGGTGTAAGAACTCCCTCTCCCAGGGCCTCAACATCACCTTCTCCGGCGACGACCCCACCGCCACCACCACCACCGCCGCCGCCACATTCAAGCTCAACACGAACTCCAGACTCTTCCGAAAATTAAAGGGCAGCAAATCCATCGAGTTCCACAACACAAACATCGAAATCTTCTGGGATCTGTACGCGGCCCGCTACGAATCAGGGCCCGAGCCCGTGGAGGGTTACTACATCCTCATCACCTTCGATTCGGATCTCGTCTTCTCACTCGGCGACACGGCCCACGAAGCCCACCCGAAGAAGCTCAGACCCAACCCGACCCGAACCGCGAAATCGTCCCTAATCTCCAGACAGGAGCACTTCTCCGGGAACACGCTGTACTCGACCCGGACCCGGTTCTGCGAAAACGGGTCGGCCCACGACATCGTGATCCACTGCAGCGGCGAAAACGACGGGCTGAAGTACCCGATCCTGTCGGTGAGTATCGACAAGAAGACGGTGATACGTGTGAAGAGGCTGCAATGGAATTTCAGAGGGAATCAGACGATATTCTTGGATGGGTTGCTTGTGGATTTGATGTGGGATGTGTTTGACTGGTTTTATAATCCCGGTGCACCGGGAAATGCGGTGTTTATGTTCAGGACAAGGAGCGGATTGGATAGCAGGTTGTGGCTGGAAGAGAAGATGGTGCAGAAGGATCTTGATAAAGTTGATTTCTCTTTCATCATCTACGCTTGTAAGAATTTATGATTTTTTTAATTGTCTTTTTTTTTTCTTTTTTCTTTTTTGTTAATGTTTCATTACTCGTGAAGAAAAAAAGGGTTCATTAATTATTTAATTAGGAGGGTTTTAAAATTCATATTGGAATTAATAATGGATGATTTGAAGAAGTGTAAACTGATTTTTTTTATTTTTTTTTTATTTTTTTGAAGTTGTAATTTGTGAAATTGTGTTTGAAGGTTTGAAATTATATGGAAAAAAAAAACCCAGTGATTTTCATCTTCATTTGTGTTTTTTTTTTTTTTTTTCATTACTCGTGAAGAAAAAAAAAGGGTTGGATTAATTAATTATTTAATTAATTAGGAGGGTTTTAAAATTTAAAATTCATATTGGAATTAATAATGGATTATTTGAAGAAGTGTAAACTTTTTTTTTTTTTTTGAAGTTGTAATTTGTGAAATTGTGATTAAAGGTTGAAATTATATGGGAAAAGGAAAAAAAAACAGTGAATTTGATCTTTATTTGTTTTTTTTTAATAATTTAAATGTTTAAATTTAATTAATTTAATGAAATATAATCATTTGGAATGTTGAAAGAATTGCAAGTGAAGATTCGAATTGCAGTTTTGTGCTTTTTTGATGATGATTCTTTTTTCACATATTTCAAGAAAAGTTTTGATGTAAAACCTGGAAAAGGTCAATCTATGCAAGAGAATATAATCTCTAAACAGTATTTTTTGTTTTTAAATTAGGGTAAATTATTGGTTGCCCCTTAGGTTAGGTTAAATTACAAAAATAATTTTTTTTGTTTGGGTAATTACAACCACCACCCATCAACTATGGGTTTTCTTACACATTCACCCTTATGACGTCAAATTCAATAGAATATTCTAGATTTTATAGAATGTTCTTTAGTTTGCAATCGTTTTGTGCTAAAATGCAGTTTCTGATGCACCACAATTTGATATTTACAAGTCAAGAGACACATCTTATGATCATCTTGTTTCGAAATGTTGAACCTGAATGGGGTAATAAAGCAATGGGGTAAAAGAGGTGAATATTCCATATAATCTAGAAGATTCCACTAAATTTGACATTGCAATGGTGCAAGTATAAGAAGATTCATCGTTGAGAGGTTGATTATAATTACCCAAACATAAGGGTTTTTTTTTGTAATTTGACACGCACTAAAATGTACATGTCCAAAACTTTATTTAACTTAATAAATGTCACATAAATAATGAAAAGTAAATTAATTGATCACAAGGAAGAGGTGAGTAAGTTGTACCACACATAATATATATGTTTGAAAACAAGAATATCATCTTATCAGTGTTAATATTCCTATCTGCATTATCTTTGGACCACTTTTTCATGGGGCCCTTAAATATTTTCTTTTGTTTTTTAACTGAATAAAGGGTTCTTGTGGGGGCTAAATTGCAAAGTAACTGGTGGTTTAATTTTTTAGTGCTTTTAAAAACATTTTTTTTCCTCAAAAAAAAAAACAATGTTTTTTCAATTTTATTAATATTAGGGTATAGTTTGACAAAATAAATTTATTTTTCAAATTGCTTCTTTATTAATTGGATCTGTACGGGGCTTGAATTTTGTGTCTGTGGGTGATAAATGAATTATTCTAAGTGATGTTGAACATGGAAAAAAATTCCATTTGCTGCAATTTGTCATAACTGAATAAAAATAGGATCTTGTGCCAATTTATATAACGGGGTCTTTTTCTTCTTCTTCTTCTTCCCATGTTACAAATTAAATTACAATAATTTTTTTTAATGTTATAAAAGTGTTACTTTATGGGCAAGAATTAAAGACGCTTTATGAACACAAATTAATTAATGCTAATTGAACTCACTAACATTAATGTTTGTGTTGGAGCCTTTTTGGCAAGTAGGATTTATTAAAAAAATCAATAATTCGCGGTTTTCGTTATAATGTATCGTAGTTGTGGTGGTAAACGGTACTTCCTCGATTTCCTTTTTAAGTATCTATTTAGCCAATTTTATTTTTCATGTATTAAGTGTCACTTTTTATAGAATTAAATGTAGGACAAATTTTGTTCTTCAATTTTACGAAACTTAAACGACACATAAAAAGAAACAAATGGAGCAATAAATAACTACAAATTTATTTTTATATTTTCGTAGGTATGTTTTGATATTTCAAAATTCAGATATACGTTATTTTGTGAATATTTTTTCTATCGAAATCGAAATATACCTATTTAGATTCCAATTTTTCGATCCATTGTCACAAACACGACATAAATAGTTGCAATAATTTTTATTTTATTTTCGAAACAAATAGTTGCAATAATTTAGTACAAGTAATTTGGTAAAATATTTATTTGACTTTGAACGTGTGAGATAGGTTTTATTTGGACACATCACTTAGGTGTGCCATCCTATCTACTCCCCCTTAAATCCATATTTATTTTTGATTTACTTCCTTACCTATATTTAAAGGACCACATATTTATCATTTGTCAATGGGTTACAATTTCGGAATACTATTTTTTTTTTTCTTCAATTTATTAAAAAAAAATATTGGAATTAAAAATATATGTTTAAATTTGGAATTTTATTTCCGATTTAATTCTGCCAAAATTTCGAAATAATCGAAAACTTTCTCCTTTCCCTTTCTGAATGTGAAATCAAACTGAAATAAAAAAATTGGAAATAAACAGAAAATTTGAATTATTTTATTCCATTGTTGATATGGGCCGATGATGTTCTAGTAGCCCATGACACATTTCACTTACAATCTGCCAATTTGGTATTTGGGCTAATTCGGAAACTATTACCCGACCCGTTTCTCTTCGGTTTGTTCCTTTGTATATTTTGTCTAAAATGAGTTTAGCCCAAATTCTTCTATTGGGCTACACAATATTTTCTATATTTGTTTCGAAATTTTGCGGGAAAGTGTAAGAAAATTCAAAGAGAAAGAAAATTCAAAGAGACTTCGACAAATTGTAATAAATAAAACCAAATGTAGGAATAACAAATGGAAACATAAATTTTACGATACGCGAAAATGCAACATAGAGTTTATGTTAGCAAATATTCTTTTCAAAGTTTTTAATTTACTTGACCCTTCGTTATTTATATTTTTCAAACATAAGTTATTATTACGGAATTACAAAATGTACCATAAAATTAGATTATATATTTGGCATAACAATTGATATATTCGAAACTAAAATTGGATCGAAAATTAGAATTTTCGATAATTTTATAAACAATTCCGATTTCGTTCCAAATAAATTCGAAAAAATCGAAACAAAATACGATGAATATTTTCAGCTCAGAATCAGCGGAATTCGAAAATTTGATTCCGATTTTCATCCCTAAGCCATGTACTCTAGATAGTATAGAAACTAGACATAAGAAAGCGGCTACATAAAAATCAAAGAACAAGAGATGCCCCACGAAAGTCAAAACTCTTTTTCGTGTTTTCAGTTTTCTTGAAACAAAGTCACAATCTGAACCCTCCATTATTTTCACGTGCTTTATTACATCACATGTCAATTACTCCAATTTTTGTTCGGTTGTTCCCCCACGTGCTTTAAAATCCCCTGTCGTCCAATCCTAACAAGCCAACACCACGTGTTTCCGTCTTCTTCACTCCCTTTACATACAGATTTTTAATTTTCGCCACATTTTCACTAATCAAATAATTTTGACTTCAAAACACGTTATTTATTGCAACAAATTCAAGATTCTTTTCACTTCAACCAAACGTACTATATATATACATATATATAAAACTACATATGCACACATATGTAAAAAGCCATTCTTCAACCTCATTTTTGTAGAAAGCCAATGCTCACTCCACCCAAGATCAAGAAAAGGGCCGCCGCCCCCATTGGCCGCCGGAATTTATTGAAGAAGACGTGCCACCCGAGTCAAAGAGGAGTCCGGCGGAAGAACAGCGGATCAAAACACGCACGCACATCAGCTTTGGCCCCACCATCGCATGGTCATCAAAACGCGCAACTCAACTCACCAGCCGTGCACACGTGTCTCCCCCATGCCACATCATCATTATCCCACCGGGCCGGTTTCCAATCATGTACCTGTGGTTGTCTTAATTCAGTGAGGGTTTTGGAAGAAAAGCAAGTTCTTGATATTGACCAAGTGGTTTCTGAAGCCTGTAATAATAGTGTGAAGTTCGTATTCGATCACGAGCAAGAAATTAGGGTTTCCGAGTTGGGTAGTAACTCGGGCCGAGTCGTCGAATTTGCAGACGAGGAGGAGATTTTTAACATGCCGGTTTTGTTGGATAGCATGGCGGAAGGGATGCTTCTCACTCCATTAGCTATGAAGAAAGGCTTCAATTGGACCCAATATTATAATCACGACGAAGACGACGACAACGATGCCATGGGGTTGACTTTGTGGGTTGACTAATAAGAAATTGCACTTTATATACGTTGGTATAGAAAGTTTCTTCATGCAAAGAATAATTAATATACGAAAATACAGTCGGTCCAATTTTACTGCTTCAATACATATAAAGAACAGAAGTTACAGCCGAAAAATAAAGAAAAAAAAAACCTAATAAAAATTACTGTTCTTCGTCAAATCGGGAATGAATGCCCGATTTTTTTTTATTAAGACGTGATGCTCGTTTACGATGGGTTCGGCCCTGTTTATGCTGTTCCCATTCATGTGCACCTCTAAGCTCTTTGTTGTCACATGCCTAACAAAAAAAAAAAAAAAAAAAAGACAAATATTTCATCAAATTATGTTTTATTTTTTTTAGTTTCGAGAGATTACGAAAACGAGTTCACTATATATATGTATAGTAACCTCACAAACATGTAGGGTCCACAGGTCCTTCTGAGCCACTTTTATTTCTTCGTAACCATTTTTACTCGTTTCGGAATTGAAGCTTTATCTAGGAAAATTCTGATTATATTCACGGATGGTTCCACCACGTTTACACCCCACGAAGTTTCTGAAGCGCCTATAGAGAGGGGTGAATTCTCGATTTTAAACTAATGCAATGAAATAATATTACTCGGTATTTATTAGGATTATTTTTAGTGCAGAAATAGTAGATTGAAGGCGTACTTTGCAAGCAATTTGTCACATCGACGAAATGGATGCTCCATCCGAAAAGCATTTGAAGTCGACCGAGTCTTCTTTTCTGTTGAGTATTAATTAAATAAATTAGCAAATAATGAATAAAAAAATTAAAATGTCATAAATTTGAGCAAATAAATAAAATAAAATATTTTTCTTACTTGGCGACGAACAAGTCTTCTCGTATTTAATTTCATTTTCTCAATAGCTTCTTCCAACACGAGTTTTGTTCTTTCCTCACCAACACAATCCATGATTTGACTTGTACTACTTTCTTGAAATTCAGAGTTCTGACATTTTAAAAAATCCTCAAATTCTCTTACACCAATTGCTTGTCTCAATCCTCGTGTATAATCGGCATTCATATTGTAAATATCACGAACTTCTTCAAGTAAACCGCCACAAACCATTAGATCCACCCTTTGATCCACATATCGATCCAATGCCGAAAGAGATGCATCCACACATATAAAGCAACAATCGTATCTTAAATTATCCGCTCGACCCCATTTCTGCCCTGCCATTTTCCATGTAAGAAAAATTACATGAAAATGGTACGATATTTACGCAATGCTATTTTTAAATAAAATGCCTCGTTTGGGAATATTGATGGGATTGCTTGAATTGGATAAGATTAAATTGTCCAGGATAATCAATGAGTGATTTATCTTGTGTTTCGGTATCATTCATATGGTTGATTAAATTCAGGGCCCGGTTATAATCACGGGCTTAAAACTTAAATCACAAAAAATCGGAACATAATCAACTACCATATCGCTATCGTTATTCCCAAACGAGGCCTAACGAAAAACTAGTAGTAGAACAAACCTGCATAGTATTGCCTTGGAAAAGTTTGCTTGGCAGTACACCGAAACGCGAATATAAATTTAGATATTGCTTGATCTGCAACCGTTGTGAAATATATATCATGGGACTGAAGACTATTATCAATAAAAAAAATGTAATTAAAAATCTCAATCGAGTTATTTCCTCACCTTCCTTTGGTCGTTTGGATGAATTCTGTTTGCTGCAACTGGATCAATGTCTTTAAGACGACTATAAGTATAATCATCACAACTTTCGGTCCGCAATCCAAATTCAGAATCCAGTTCTTCGTTATTTTCTGTAAAAAGAGCAGAAACGTGTTATTCTTGCAGCTGATTCCCTATGTAAATACGAAAAAACAGAACAGTGAAGTAAGCTTTCATGTTTTCAATGTTTCATTTTTTTTTTACCTGGAAGATCGAATAAGCAATTTGTTTCGAGATCGTCTGCATGGTCATCCAATAGGAACTGACTAACAAGAGCCTGAATAAAAAAATATATTTATCAGCTTAGAAATAAACGGCAAGACAACAAAGTGCAACGATCAAGAATATTCATAACAAGGATAAAACGAAAAAGCACAAGAAAGCTAAAAGTGGATGTGATTTAAAAAAGGTTCAAGAAAATACGAGTTTCTGGGGTCTTCCAGCGATCGATAAATCGGAGAACAAAGATATGAAAAAACAGTTTAATATAACAAGACGAATATAATACAGCAGCTAACCTGGATATAGTAATTTGTTCCACCTACTATAACGGGCAAGCAATTACGAGACGATATCTCATCAATTAGCTGGAAAAAAACAAAAAAAAAAAAAAAACAGAAAAAAACAGATGCCAAGATATCAGAAAATAAATCTGGAGAAGAAATGTAAGTACATACATACATCAAAATGTAAGTACATACATACTTGAATAGCCGAATCACGAAACTCTTTAGCAGTGAATTCAACATTAGGGCTAATTGTCCCCAGCAAATGATGAGGCACTCCTGTCAAAATTAGCAAATTTTATCAATAATTACAATAAACCTACAATTCAATTTTGCCCTAAATAATCATTGAAAACCTTTACGCTCAAGAACAGGGACTTTGTTGGTAAGAACATCCAACCCTTGATAAACCTAAGACAAAATCGAATTCATCAACAACTACAAACACTTTGCAGCAAAATTATACACGGATAAATACATGGGGTGGTACCTGCATGGAATCGGCGTTGATAATTTCAATCGGAAAGTGGGAAGCGAGGTCTATGGCTAATTTGGATTTGCCTGCTCCGGTGGAACCCATTATCACCACAATCTTCGGCTTTGTGTTCGGGTCATGGGTTGAACCCGGATCCGGATTTTCCGGGCAAATGCCCGGTAATTGCTCTTGAGGTGTGGTTTCGGCTTCCATTGTTGTGGGTTCCACTGGTGTCGCTCCGCCGCTGCTGCTCTAAAACCGCCGGCGAGAATCAGGGTGGAGTGAGAGTAAATGGGCCGCGCAAATATTTTTGGGCTTACAATTATGCCGCTTATCTGGCCCAATTACGACCTCGTTATTTTCTTTTCTTTTTTATGGTAAATTAAGCCCTTGAGGTAGTGTCAAATTATGAAAAACTCCCCCATGTTTGGGTAATTACTAATTACAACCACCTATCATTTATGATTTTTTTTACACGTCCATTCTTGCGATGTCAAATTTAGTGGACTCATAAAATTTTATCCCATTTCAGCTCCACGTTTTTAAATAAGATGATCATAAAATATGTCTCTTGACTTGTAAAAATATCTAATTGTGGTGCATCTGAAATTGATTGTTTGCACAAAACGACTACAAACTCGAAAAAATCCCACGGAATCTAAAAGATTGTGTTGTGGTGGACGTATAAGAAATTTATAGTTGAGACTGATTGCAATTACCCAAACAAAAGAGATTTTTTCGTAATTTAACCTCACCTCAAGGGGTGGGCGTAATTTACCCCTTTTTCTATTATTAATTGTTGAAGATAGAAAAGTGAGATGCTTTATCATATGCAACTTTGCTTTATCTTTATAGGAACAAAATATAAGTCATTATAATCAAAAGAAATAATTGTGACCTCAATTACATGAACAAACACATTAGTACAACAATACACATCACTTTAAAGTTTGTCAATCTTAATCCTCAAAAAAATAAAAAAATAATAATACCGAAAATAATACAAGCCGGTAAATACAAAATAGAAACAACAAAAGAATAACAAACCATAAAATCAATAAATTGTTAATTAAAAAAAATAAAAAATAAAAAAATAAACAACAACAACAAAAGTTTGGTGAAGGCATTCTAAATGTTTTTGCAAAGCTCATCCAGTTTCTTGAACCTCAAATTCTCACTTTCAGTTACCAACTGCCAAAAACAATATTCAAACATATGTAATAATAATAATTATTATTATTATTATATTATTATTATTATTATTATTATTATTATTATTATTATTATTATAAAGAATCATAGTTGGTTAATTAAGCATAATATGAATTATGATATTTTACCTCCACTATTGCCAATTAGCT